GAATCCATGCAGATTACAGTCATGATGAGGGTATTTCCTAGCAGCCCTGTGGTGTACATGGCACTCAGTGAAATAGCCAGCCAAAGATGTGAAGACTGCAAACCTGGAATGCCCACAAGGAAGAAGGTGGCAGGGGTTCCCATTGTGTGGTTGTAGGGTGGCCCCAGCATTGTATGTAAGATTCTTTTCCTGTTAAGGTATAAAGTGATGGAACAAAAAATACAGATCTCTCAGATTTATTTTTGTCTGTGGTGTTGGTAAATCCTGGGGATAATCTCAGATTGGAAATATTCTCAAGATCAGAAAAGTAACATCTGATAAAGCTATTCTCCATTTTTTATCTTTTTCAATTATCTCTGTCTTGTTTCTATTCATTGTTCAAGATCAGCTCTTGGGTTTCCTCCTTTGGGAAATCTCTACACTCTCTCTTCCCCCATTTCATATCAGCATGGTACCTTTCTTCTGAGTTCATAAAATGTCTCCTGCTAGCTTATGAAATGCTTAAATGGAGAATTCCAATATTCTACATATGAATTTATTATATGATCTCAACTGTGTGTCTGTTCTTTGTGGGCTTATGCCAACTATCTGATCCTTACCTGTGGGGTATATATGTATATAAAAAGATGCATGTAGTCATTATAGTAAACAATTTCAAAAAATCCATGATCAATCAGAGGAAAGAAATTTTCTTCTCTTTCCATGTTTAGCTATTGAAAATAATCAGTGCATAAAATAATGAACTTTTTGAGGCAAGTGTATCAGTTTTTGTATCCTCATGTAGAACCTACACAAAATATGAAGGAAACATCTTTATGGTTAAAGATTTTCAGTAACAGGTTCAGGAAAATGGGGTCATTAGAGAACATTATATCTTTACATATAGGATAATGGGGATATTGGCAATCTCTACTTTCCTTTAGTTTCCTTGAATTATATTCAATGAGTATTTAACTACGCAAAAAAGTTGGGGCTATATTATTGATGAACTATCATATTTTTCCAAGATTCCTCAATACGGTTAATGCTATATTCCTGATAAAGTATCAAGATAGTCTAGAAAACAAGGAAGCTTTATCCTTTAGAAGTAAAGAACTTTTGACTGAACATAGTATGTACCAGGATATTTTGAAAAGGGTATTATTTATATTCTGATTATATTTCTGTATTTCTAATATAAAAAGTCATCTATACATGACAGTTGGTGTAACTTAAATCAGATATTCACCCCATATCATGTAGCAATTATGTAGTAAATTTAACATACAAGTCTGAATCTTTCCACTTGTGGCTTCCAAGAGTTGAACCTACCTAAGAATAACAGTCAAAAAACAGCTATGGATAGTTTTTTATATAAAAGTTTTTATATGGCATTATTTTGCTGTAATTCTGCACATATTGGAGCTAGGCTCCAAAGCTTGGGAATTTCTGTTTATTGCTATGCTTGCCTATACCTGCCTTATTCAAGTAGTGCCATGTGTAATGACCTGGTGGGGTAAATCTGAATAGAAGTGATCAGCATTAGTCCATTTCCAGTCCATTTCTGTGTGATATCACTTTTGTTCCTCTTCCTTTTGATTCCTTTTTGCAGTTGTGCAAACCCACAGCTCCCTGGGAATACTCCTTTCAAAGTCCCTTCTTTATTCATTGGTATCATTTGGCTTTGGAGGATGTTAGTTGATTTTTGTCTAGAAACTTTCAGTTTTACTTACTACAGAATGTAAGGATTCTGCATGCTTTTAGTGACCCACTTCAAATGTGCTTTGTCTTACTTCATCAAAGAAGGAAAACCTTGAAAGATTCATATTACAGAGACTGAAAACTCTACTCTGTCACCCTCTAGCCATTTTCTCTCCATCAAATTATGTAAACAAACCAAACCTTCATTTGTTTATCAAAAGATGGAAATAATGCACCTATCTCCAATAGATTTTTCTTGATACTTAAATGA